AACCTCCGCGGCTTCGGCCATGACGGCCGTCGCCGCCAGCTCATCAAGTACATCCGGGACGAACATATTGACATTATTGCCATCCAAGAAACCCTTAGAGTCGAGTTCTCCCTACAGGAGCTGGAACATCTGAGCCCCCACCTCTTCGCGTGGCACTAGCTCCCTTCTAGCGGGACCTCAGGCCACTCGGGTGGCATCCTTCTTGGGGTTAAGGATGCCACTTTCGAGGTGGGCGGCATGGATAGAGGGGAGTTTTTCGTTAGCATGGAGATCTTCGAGCGGGCTTTGAACTTCAAATGGGAGGTCATTGTGGTCTACGGTCTGGCTGACCACCGCCGCTCCCCGGCCTTCCTTGCCGAGTTGCAGCTGAAGATCTCCAACTCCCCACATCCTGTTTTGGTGGGGGGCGACTTCAACCTCATCCGTTCGCCGGACGAGAAGAATAATTCCCGGGTTAATTTCCCCCGGATGCAGCTTTTCAACGATTGGATCGCGGAGCTGGGGCTCCGTGAGCTTGACCAGACTGGTGACAGATTTACTTGGACCAACCAGCAAACTATTCCGACACAATCCGTGCTGGATCGTGTCCTAGTTTCCCCGGAGTGGGAATTGCGATGCCCCCTGGCATCGCTCCGGGCGGTCACCCGGATTGGTTCCGACCATGTCCCCCTTCTCCTCTCCACGGTTGACGAGCGCCCTCCCTCCCCGCCGCGGTTCCGGTTCGAGAGCTTCTGGCTCAACCAGGCGGGCTTCCGGGAGGCCGTCGTCGCCCGCTGGATCTTCGCCAGGTCGGCACCCCATCGCGCCATGTCCGCGGTCGATACTTGGCACTTTTGTGCCAAGTTAGCCCGCCAGTTCATGAAGGGTTGGGGGGCTAATCTTGGCCGGGACCTGAGAGAGCGCAAGAATTCCATCCTTGTGGCGATTCAAGCCTTGGATGCACGCGCGGACTCGACCGGGCTCTCCTCGGATGAGTGGCTGCTGCGCTACGACCTAGAGGACCAGCTATCCCTCATCTACACGGACGAGGAGGCCTACTGGCGCCTACGGGGCACCCAGAGATGGGTGCTTCAGGGCGACGCAAACACCGCATACTTCCAGGCGGTTGCGAACGGCCGGCGCCGTCGCAACTCCATCCACTGCCTGTGGGATGGAGATGCGCAGTTAGTGCAGCCCGCGGCCATCCGCCTCCATGTGGATGGCTTCTATAGGGCCTTATTTACCCCCACGCCGCGTGGTGGGGCTAGCCTTGCCCCCGACATTTGGTCGGGGGCGCTTGGAGTCTCGGCTGCAGCCAATGCGGCCTTGGTTGCTCCTTTCAGTGAGGACGAGGTCCTCGCTGCCATTAGGGGGATGGACCCCTCCTCGGCCCCGGGACCTGATGGTCTACCTGTAGCTTTCTTCAAGACGTTCTGGCCTACCATCAAGCATGAGGTCATGGCTCTCTTTGAGGAATTCTACTCTGGTACCATGGATTTGGGGCGCCTTAACTATGGTGTGGTGACCCTCATCCCCAAGGTCCCGGGTGCCGCCGATATCCGCCAGTTCCGCCCCATCACAGTTATTAATGTGATCTTTAGGATTCTGGCGAAGGGGTACGCCAATAGGGTGACCCTCCTTGCGGACACTATTACCCACCCGAACCAATCCGCCTTCATTCAAGGCCGATTTATCCTGGATGGGGTGTTGGTGTTCCACGAAGTGCTCCACGAGGTTCGTCTGAAGCGCCACAGGGCGGTCTTCCTTAAGCTGGACTTCCACAAAGCCTATGACACGGTCCACTGGCCGTTCCTGAGGGAAGTCCTGCTTCGCAAGGGCTTTGACGATCGGTGGGTGACCCGCGTCATGCAGCTCGTCTCCTGCGGCCGGACTGCGGTGAACATCAACAGCGAGATTGGACTCTTCTTCCCTACCCTTTGTGGGGTTCGGCAGGGGGACCCCTTCTCGCCGTTCTTGTTCAACATGGTTGTTGATGCCCTGGCCGCCATCCTAGTTAAGGCCACGGCTGCGGGGCATATTCGAGGCTTGGTCCCGCACCTTGTTGGAGGGGGAGGGGTGACCCTTCTCCAGTACGCGGATGACACCATTATTATGACGGAGGGATCCGCCCTCGAGATTTCCAACCTGAAGTTCCTCCTTCTGTGCTTCCAGCAAATGTCGGGCCTGACCATCAACTTTGACAAGAGCGAAGTGATGGTGCTCGGCTACCCCGATGAGGACGCTCAGTCCATTGCCGATCGGCTTAACTGCCGGCTGGGATCTTTTCCCACGACCTATCTGGGGATCCCCATTAGCGACTCGCGCCTCACCGTGGCGGACCTCCGCCCCACGGTGACCCGTATGCAGCACCGAGTTGAGCCCTGGAAAGGGCGCTGGCTGTCGAAGGCGGCACGTGTGATCCTTATCAACTCGTCGCTTGCCAGCCTTCTATGGTTCCTCATGAGCTTTTACAGCCTTCATGAAACCCTTCATCAGGAGATCGCCAAGTACCAGGCCAGATTTTTCTGGGCTGGCGAGGCAGGCAGACAGAAATATCACATGGTCAGCTGGCCAGACATCTGCAAACCCAAAGACCAGGGTGGCCTTGGGATTTTGTCCTCTCGGCGCATGAACATCGCCCTCCTCACCCGCTGGCTATGGCGCATTGCCAATGGGGAGGGAGGCCTTTGGTTGACTATCATCCGGAACAAGTACCTGCGTGGCCAGCCTCTGGCGTTCTGCCAGCGCTCGGGCGGTTCCCAGTTTTGGCACGCAGTCGTCCAGCTGCTTCCAGTCCTGAGGATAGGCACCTCCATCTCGGTGGGCTCTGGCGCCTCGACCTTGTTTTGGCTTGATAGTTGGCTAGGGGACTCCCCCCTGGCCGCCCGGTTCCCCATCCTCTTCGACATTGTAGTTGACCCTCGGGTCTCGGTCGAGGCGGCCCTTATTGACTTAGGGCGCCTCGCGTTTCGTCGTCCTTTTGGCCCTGCCGAGGTGGCTGCTTGGGATGTCCTCCTCCAGGACATCGCCCTGTTGCCTATGGACGTGGCTGACTCTCCGGATGCCATCTCCTGGCGTCTGGATTCCTCAGGCCGCTTCTCCACCAAGTCCCTTTACGCGGCTATTGCCCCATCAGTTGCCCCGGAGCCTTTCGGCCTTATCTGGGACATCCGCCTCCCACTTAAGATCCGGATCTTCTTGTGGCAATGGATCCGCGGCCGCCTCTCGTCCGGCGTGGAGGTCCTCAAGCGCCATGGGCCTGGGGATGGGATGTGCCCCCTATGTGACACGGCGGAGGATGCCAATCACATCTTCTTCTCCTGTTGCACGGCACAGTTCCTATGGGCGTGTTTTCGCGAAACGGTTGGGGGACAGTGGTGTAATAACAACTTCCCCGACTTGCTTGCGGAAATCCAGGCCTCCCATCCACGCTACAGACATATTAGATGGCTGTGCGTTGGGGTGCTGGCTTGGACGTTGTGGACGGTTCGCAATAAGCTTGTCATTCAGAAGGTGCCTCTTCGACGTGCGACTGACTCCATCTTCAAAATGTGTGGTTACTTGCAGCTCTGGCGGCCGCTTAGCCGCCCTCCGGACCGGGATGCCATCGACAGACTCCTCTCCGACCTTCGTTCGTTGGCCTTCCGCCTGGCACTGCCGCTCCCACCGCCTCCCCCGGAGCCCGACTAGAGGCGTCTCTCTCCCGGCGTGTGTGCCGCTTTTTGTGTGTGTGTTGGGCTTGTTGAGCTGTGCCCTCAGCACTAACCCTTGATGCTTGTTTGTTCCTGGACTATGTGTGTGTGTGTACCTTGGTGGTGTGAACCTTGTGGATGTTGGCTTTGGCATTGGCTTTATCTATAAAGCGGGGCGTGAGCCTTTTTCGGTAAGTAGAATAATACAAGTGCACTTGGAAGCATACAACATGCACGTGAGTTCCACGTCGAAGAGAGGAAGAGATCCTGTTTTCTTTACGGAGTTCTGTCTGGTTGGTGGCCAATTGGTGGTGTTCCATCCATGCTGTTTTCTTTTTGAGGCAATTCCATCCATGCTGTTGAAATTGCCAGAATGCAAGTTTCAGCCTCGGTTCAGGTGGCCCCGACTTTCCTGGGCCCGGGTAACATTTCCTATTTCTTTTGAAGTCGGCCCACTCTGACCCAGAGCCTTAAAATCTCAAATAACAGAAATACATTATTCTGTTTCTTTTCATCCCGAAAAATAATACGTATACAATACTATTTAGTCATGTGATTTTTTGTATATATAAATTACTCGTGGTTTCTTTTCTAGGCCTTGGGTTGGGCCGGGCTTTGGATGGGCCATGTCCTGCATGCTTATGCTTTGGCTGGCCTTGATTCACTAGGGTTTGTACTGATCCCTCAAAAAAAAAAAACTAGGGTTTGTACTGTAACTGTAGAAGCCTAGCCCTAGTGTTATCCATGGGCTATCTTCAACGTTCAAAACCTGAACTGCCGGCGCTGTAAAGATGAATACATCTGGCTCTTCTTCCTGTGAACAGTCAAAAAGAAGCAGGCATCCATTATTCCGTCATCATCTTTTCGCTGCACAGTAGTTTCAGGTTTTCAACTGAAGAATCAGAGCCCCAAGTGCAAAGTCGACTCAGCATGTCGATCGGTAAGCCGGCCGAAAAGAAATTTCCGAAAAGGATAAAACAAAAAGGAGAGGGGGAGAGAGAGAGAGAGAGAAAATTCCTGGACATAATGCTTTTTTGCATTCCTTTTTCTTAAGAGCACATCATAGGCTAGCACATAGCCAGCATATTTACATTTTCAGAAAGAAGCACAAACATGGCACATTTCAGAGATCCATTTTTTTTCTTTTTCTCCTTCTCTTCCATTGCCTCTTTTCCTACTGTTTCTCTTGTTTATATCAAGCTTCAAAACACACTTGATTTTAACATTTATCTGACGATGACGACGACGATGATGACGATGATACAGATTCACCAAGGGCATGCATCATTAACCAGACCCTTGGGGATAAAACCAAGAATTCCTTCTTGGTCATCTTTTCCATGAGGTGACACCGACCGCCACATTGCTGACCTGAACCAGACGCAGACAAATTCAGTAAATTACATAGATAATTTCTTTGCCATAACTAGCGATGAAAATAGAGGGTTTTGGTAGAGTGTTAGCTAGAGATGAGGCTGGTTACCAGTTTGCCCTTGTCGTTCATTGTCCTGGGATTCTCCACGAGAACTGTCTGAGGCCGGGCATGGGCATCCTGCAAGTAGCACGAACAAAGTTTAGCTAGAGAATAAAGCCGGCTGGCGCCGCCATCAACCTTTGACAATAAGATTCAGATTGTTTGGCCGATGATCGATTCCAATGGACCACTGGTACGTATGTAATTTTCAGACAGTTTGATAACACGGATGGTTCAGAGAATTTGATAACACGAATGGTCCAGAGAATTTGATAACACGAATGGTCCAGAGAATTTGAATGCTAGTCTGTGGTACGTACTCCTACGTAGCTAATCGTCTACTATTATTCTCAGGTACTTGCCTATCTGAGCAGTGGGAACTGATTCCATGACGAAGCCATGGAGCAATCTGAACCTACCATAGTGGTGATCTTTTCAAGAAATTTTGATGCAACAGGAGAGGGTGATCGCACAATGCATGGCCCCATGTAGCTTTGGACCACACAAATATCTCCCTAAACTGATTCTTTGTGCGGGAAACCGTGCCGACTAGTAGCTACAACGTTGCGTTCGAAAATATCACGTCGCATTCTAGACATGCATAGACATAGCCTCTAAGAGAAGTTTGTTTTCAAAGATCATGTCACTGATTACAGAAGGCATGGTACGATTTAGCTCTGCTTACCGGAGGAGCTGAGGAGCCCTGGGTTCTGACAGGGTTGACGTGCTGGCAGTTGGCGCACCCCACGGTGGAGGCCCCCGGCGGATACATGAGCGTTGTCCGGCACCGGCCGCATGTCAGGTGGGCGATTTGGCTCGCTGCGAATTCACAGACGAATACCAATGTCAGTTCAGTTGAATGCAACAAGCAGCTAGCTAGTTAGGTGAATGCAACTCCATTGCAGCAGCAACACCAACACAGCTGGTGCGTGTGAGTTGCAGAAATGGCAGGGTCTATATATATATATATATGTATGGGAAAGTACCTGATCTGGTGGAGTTGACCCTGTTGCACCCGGAGCAGCGTACGTTGGCGGCGCCGCGGTTGTACAGCACCAGGCTGAAGCAGCCGTTGCAGATGAGCTCCGACATGGTCGCTGTCTCCGTTTGGTAGTTGACCGACGAGGTGCACCTAGGCATGCCTGCAGATTACATCCGTCGTTGTTAACGACACACACACATACACACATTGATTCTGCTTACGTAGGAGTATATATATATGCAAATATGCAATGCATGCTCGATCAGTACAACTATATATGTAGCCATGCATGCATCAAGAAAAGAGCCGCAGAAGGCTATAGATAAATTTTGCAGAAAGAAGCACTCCTATTTTTTGTCCTGGCAGCTACATGCGTACATCATATCGATCTAGGAGGATCCACAGCATTGAGACATACCAAGCAAAGAACCCAACAAGCGGCTTGCTCCGATCGCCGAAGCGCTGAGAGAGAGGTGCGTGGGTGAGAGGGGGAGGTGGAAGAAGTACG